TTACTCTATGACCTTAAAAGTGGTTTGGTCAACCCATGGACTGATCCATTATTTTAATGGAGTAAAGGTAGTATTATCCGTCATTCCGCCTAAAGTATTTTAATGGAATCTCTTAACGGGTCAAATTATTACATATTTAAATCTGGATCTATTTAAAAAGTTAAATAGTTTCAGATTCGGATAACCGAATTAAAATTTTAATTCATATCTAATTAAAGAAACTCAAATTTGAATCGAATTTAAACTAAAATTCAATCAATTAACAGACTTTATTTCTAAGATTGGCACTTATTTTTGAATTTGTTGGATAATGTGTTTACCCAATGGGCTGTCTTTGCAAACCTTAATAGGCCTATTCCCTGAGATCTAACGGGGGTCCACTTTACATGTTGAGCTTTTGGGCCAAACCATGACTAGGGGGGCTTTCCAAGCTAATTGTGAAGCCTATGGTCCATGGACAGTTGTCGTGCCTCCACCCGACCCGAATCTTCGAGGGATTTCCCAATTAAAAATAGGATGAATGGCCTTTCCATTCTAAAAGATTTTAGGAAAAATTTCAACTATATCCCCTCTATTTTATCATATCTTTACAAAAACTTTTTTAATTTTTTAAATTTTTACTGACACTCTATGCCAGATTAAATATATTAACTAAAATATAATTTTACTAAATTATCTATAATATATTTGAGGATAAACTTCATCCACATCTTTTCTAAATAAACATATCTTCAATGAGACTCTCTCTATTTTCTAATATTTTTTATGTATTAAAATTCGGGCTGATTTAAATTCGATTCGAGATATTTAAAATTTAATTTTTTACGTATTAAAATTTAGGTTGATTAAAAATTAAATTTTTTTGCGTATTAAAATTCTATTTGAGCTAATTAAAATTATTTTTAATCGACTCAAACCAAATTTTAATCAATTCGCATTGAATTTTAATCGGTCTAAATTTTAATATATAGAAAATATATAAATTTAATTGACTCAAATTTTAATAAATCAAATTTTAATTGATGCAAATTTTAATAAGTAACAAAATATAAATTTTAGTTGACTCAAAAGTAAATTTTAATTGGCGCTAATAACTCAAGTAGAGCTCAAATCGACTTGAATTTTAATACTTAAAAAATAAATTTTAGTAGGCTCGAATTTTAATAAATAAAAAAAATAAAATTTAATCAGCTCGAATAGAATTTTAATTGACTCAAATTTTAATATATAAAAAAATAAATTTTAATCTACTCAAATTTTAATATGTAGAAAAATAAAATTTAATCGACTCAAATTTTCATAAAATTTGACGTAGAAAAATTATTTGGAGTTTTTGTATGAGTATTTTTGATATTTTAGAGAGAGTACAAATTGAAAGGTTTTTAGGGGTATAAAGTGTGATTCGCCCTTTAAGAATAATTCAATCTTACCCGTTTAGTAGTATGGAACGTGGATAAGAGGTCCCGGACAAACCCATCTATTAAACCTGACCCCTCTCTCTCTCTCTCTCTCAAACCTTCGAGCATCACCATGTTGCTCCTCTAGGGCTACAATTCTGGTTAGTTATCCTATCTTGTCTCTCCTGCAAAGCTCTAAAATGCAAGTCAATTAAGTTGGTTTTTCTTCACTTAGCTTTTTCTGGATTTGTTCTGGACTAGATGGGTATACATGTTTGATATATCGAGATAGGAATCATGTCTTTGGGCTTCTATATTGAGGACCCATGGGGATTAGAACTTGAAAGTGTCTGGGAAATGGGTTTTGTTTTGTGTGAATGAGCTTTGGCATGTGTGGGGGTCTATTGTTGACATAATCAATGTGGGTTCTGATTTTGTTTTTCTGATTTATGGTTGGTTTGGTTTGGTTGCTGATAGGAGGTAGAAAAAGAAAGAGATTGATGAATTTTGAATTTAATAAAGTCATATGAATGTGGTTCGTGAATTCATATTCATTCCCTCTTGGATGGTGAGATACTGAGTTTGTGCGTTTGATTTGACAAAAATGATTGCTAGTTTTTGTGGAAAATGGATGAGAACTGAAATTAGTCATTCGAAATGCGAAATGACTTGGACCAGTTGGTCATTTAGAAGGGAAGTTTGAAATTATACTCTTGGATTGTGTTTTTTCTTTTGCATTGCTCTTGAGTTTTGGGGGTGGGAGATATGCTAATTCAGGCAACTGTCCAGTACTAATACAGAAACCCTTGAATTGAGATTTTTTTCTTTGGTCTGACATTAGTACTGGAGAGGGGAATGACGAGATTTGAATCTGGACCTTAAGATCCAACAACAGGAGCAGTGACCACTAAGATTAGGCTAATCGCTAATCTCAACGTGTGAAGGGAGATAGAAGTTGCTACATAGCTTGTAGATAGGTTTGTGGTGACACACATGCCTCATGCAAAGTGTCCATTCTCATCAGTTAGCTCTCTGTTGTTGAGAGCAAAAACAAAGGTTTACAGATCTCCTGAAAGAGAACTTTTTTTAATGTGTTATATGATGGAGAGAACTCAACAACATGTATACCCCTTCTTCATATCAACCAATTGAAAATTTGGAATAATCGGCCACACCACAAAAATATGAGCTCCATTTATGCTTATAATTTGAAGGCCTTATTTCCTGGTATATTGTAAAATTTTATGAGACTGTATTCTTACCAGATGAATGAAATTTCCCACTCCATAAGCTTTTGTGTGTGTATGTGTTTCGTGTATATATGAATTGTCCTATTTTTAATTTTGCTTATACTATGGCAATATGTTAATAGTCTCTTTATGCTGTGGGTTTTAAACAAGGTTTTTGAAGATGGTTGGAAGTGGATGCTCCCTGGTCTATGGGAGTGTTTGCATGAAGTACAAGGAATATAACCCCAAGTGTTACAGCTTTGCACCAGCATGTATTTCTGATTTGCCTCCCAAATCCGTATGTCGTCAGGATCTAAAATCCCACTTTACCAGAGGTGGGTATAATTCCTACCCTTGTTTTTTCTGCCCCATGTATTGTTGCTTTATTGGTAGATAAACTAATTTATTGATTATTTTTATGGTTCTTCTGAAATAGTTCTAATGCTTCTCCCTCTTCTCTGTATCTTGGAGGTGGTATTTGAGCTTCTGATCATATTTGAACTCAAGTCCCTTGGACAACACCCAAAAAACATTACTACGAGTGATTGATGGCATTGTCTTTATGTATTTTAGATGTCAATTAGGCAGACCTAACAAGATATAATTTCCATGGTTTTGTGTCTGTTCCTTCTCAGCTTGATGCCAGTTCTTTATCAGCTCCATATATCTGAGTAATTTAAGATACCAGTAATCACCAACCATAAGCAAGCTTGCGTGACAGCTGCCCACATTGGCCACCTCAAATAGGGAGAGGTGCAAGGTCAAGTCATCCACGACCTTCTTATTAATTAAAGAAGCAAAAAAGAAGAAAAAACACTGATTTTTTAGTAATACTACAGGCATCGGAAATTACAATTGACTATGGGGCCGCAATAGCTAAACTATTCGCAACGTCAATAACAAACTCATGCACCTTAGTCTTCCTCTATATTAGACAAAATCGTGGATAGCATCGTGGGATTTTACTTTTTGCCTTCTACTCTTTGTACATTATTTTATTTCAAATTTTTATGACAGGAATTCCATTCTCGCTTCTCTCTGCTGCATCATCACCACTTTTAAGTGGTGAACTAGGTGGCCTTTCGTATACTCTACCAAAGTTACCCACGCGTCATCGATTTTTAATGTCTCCAAGGGCATCCAAGGATGTCCCTTATAGTTACCGATACCCTGCAATGACCAAGAAGCCAAGATGGTGGTGGAGGACTTTAGCATGCCTTCCTTATTTGATGCCACTTCATGAAACATGGATGTATGCAGAGACAGCATATCGTCTCCATCCCTTTTTGGAGGATTTCGAGTTTTTGACCTACCCTTTCTTGGGAGCTATTGGGAGATTGCCCAGCTGGTTCTTGATGGCATATTTCTTCGTTGCGTATCTTGGAGTAGTGAGGAGAAAGGAATGGCCTCATTTCTTCAGGTTCCATGTGGTGATGGGCATGTTGTTGGAGATTGCCTTACAGGTGATAGGGACTGTGAGCCGTTGGATGCCACTTGCTTTCTATTGGGGTAAGGTCGGTATGCATTTTTGGACTGCAATTGCATTTGCTTATCTTTTTACAGTATTGGAGTGTATAAGATGTGCTCTTGCTGGGATGTATGCTGACATTCCATTTGTGTGTGATGCGGCATACATTCAAATCCCTTACGATTAATGATTGTAAAGGTTGGAGGTTTTTCTTAGCGGGAATTTTGTGTTGGCTTTTTGTTGAAGTAGAACTTCAAAAATGCTTGAGTAACAGGTGATTTTCAATGTCTCGTTTTGCTTATTTGTTTGAATTCTGTAAAACTTGCCTCATATGAATGTGAATTGTTGGTATGGCACTCCCTGTTTCTCTGTTTTTGAATCCTCTCTCTGTGTATCTCTGTTTTATGACACTAACCCGACTCATTTCAGATGATAAACAAACTCAGTTTCTTTACGAGTAATGGTAGGTTTTCCAAATTTGGAGTAAATATTGGATGTAAGCGTTACACCACGTCGTTTGCATTGTCACGTGATGTAACCGCCTACTGATAAACAAACAAGTGAGTGAGTAAACAATACTTTTTAAATATGTGACGATTACTATCTTACATGGAAAGATTGTTATTGAAGGAGTGAGGTTTGTTTGGCCTAATTGTTGAGTTATCATGAGACAGTCATACCACTTGACAATGTTAACGTGGTGTAATCTTTAGACCCAACATGTACTCATTTGCAATAGGAATATTTGGATCAATAGGCCCCACTAATTTTTTTCAACGGGACCTACTCATCTAAGGATTTTTGTTTGTTTGGGTTCTCATTTGTTTGTTTGGGTTTTCATTTGGGATCCGTAACATTACTCATGATCTTTGCTAATAACATCAATCCAACATTTTTGTACTCTGAAATCTTTATTTTTAAGTTTTTTAAGCATAGATATAGTTCAAAGATTGATGTTTTGATCTTCTTATCTTACTATGTAAATAATGTTTTTTTCCTATGCAAACTTAAGCTATTGTCTCACAGAACACCAATGAAAAAATACCATTTTTTTTTAATGAAAAACTTCCATTCACTTGGGAAGCAAGCATGCATATGTGATAAGGATATTTCTTTCGCCTATTCGTTAAACCCTTCAATAGCTTCGTAGAATTTTACAACATAAAAGATAATTGACGACGAGGCTTTTTTTCTTCTTTTAATTCCTATCATCATTCGAACTTGCAAGTACAAAGATAAAAAGAATCCAATAAACAGTTGTTTTTCTATTGTTGAATTGATTTTGTGTGCACGTTTATTATCATTAAGGGTAAGAGTAACTGATCCATTTAAAAGACTATATTTTAGGTCAATTGCTAGCCTTAAATTATTTGAAAAGACTCGTCCCTTATTTTTTCTTATTTCTTAACCTTAGCACCTATCGCACTCATTATTGGAGCTCATATCCGTTAACTACCAAATTTCTCTCTTAAGAAGAAAAAAATGATTTATTTTTTTACTTTCAACGTGAAAAAGGTAGCTGTTTTGATCTTACATTGGTTAAAAATAAAATTAGATGTATATATATGAATTGTTGGACACTTTTTTCTTACAACTTCTATTCATGGGTTCATAACAATTAATATCAGAGTTAATTATCACGTCGAATTTGCAACTCTTTGTAGTAAGTATCAATAGAGTGAATCATACCACTTAGTAGGGGTGATTTAGTGGGGTACCGACCTTACTTCTCACATTGAGATTATGAAATCTTGAAGTTCTCATTTGGGCATGATGATTGGCTCCTATGCTAGCCTAATTAGGTCTGGTCTGAAAAGGTATTTCAGACTCGATTAGAGGCGTTATAATTCCACCGATAAAGACATATTAGGATGGTCGTTGGGCACTCTCCCTTGTATACACCCACAAAATAAAATTAAATATATGTATATTAAATTTTAGGCACTGAATCGATTTTGAAGAACAAGGTATACCCACATATTCCTAAAGCAACCTTAATAATTGAGAATTTTGACCATTGATTAGAACAAAATCTAAAACCAAATCTCGGACAGAACTGTTATATGAGTGACATGAGTCAAAGACTTGCACAGTACCTATAGATATAGAGAGAGAGAGATGCCAAAAAAAAAACTAGAGAGAGAGACAGAGAGAACCTCAAACTCAAGCCCTCTAAATTCAGTCCCAACTGCTAATGTGAGAGCGACTGACTGAATTTCCAGAGAGAAAGAGAGAGAGAGAGAGTCGAATCTGCTCTCTTCATTTTCGACTGCTATGAATCCAAGCAAAGTAGAAGAAGATCTGTTCCAACATCATCTGGACCCACACCAACTGATACACCATCACAGTCAATCTCAGCCGTCGATTCTCGATCACCACCACCAAGAAGTGGAAGAACACTTCTCTCTCCCGCCGATCTCCGAAATCGTCCTGTTCCACGACGACGAGGACGACAACGACTTTGATAGCCACACCTCCTCCGACGCCGATGACACCTCCAAAGTCTTCCCACCAAATGACGCTGTTTCGTCAAACCCTAACCCTAATTCCCAAATTCACACACAGTCGTTCATCAATCCCGAGCCTCATATTTCCACCCAATTCTACACATTCAACAAAGAATCGCATGCCCTAATGATTCGATGCATTCTCGAGGGCCGTCTCGCGACTTCCGATGAGATTCGAGCTGCGACGCCTCTCGCTGTGCTCTCGAGCTGGCGTTCTGTGTGGAAGGACCGCAATGAAGACACAGCGTACCTCACCGCATGGAAGCGTATCCAAGACAAGCTTAATGCTCACATTGACCCAAACGGTAATGAATTCTTGTGCTTCAAGAACAATTCCAATCAATTTGTATCTCACATTGATCAATGGAAAGATATAGTCATGAGTGTTCATGGAGATGCCGATTTAAAACATTTAGGGCTTAAAGAAACTATTGAAAAAATTAAACAGGTTTGGACTGTAGGTGCTAAATTTTACGGTATCCCCGAATCTTTCATTAGGGTCTGTGTGTCTGCATGTCCTGTATGCTCCGATGACTCATCTGGCTCTGCGGCGCGCACGAAAAGGCGGAGGTTTGAGTATACGGAGACATTTGATGTGCCGGCAAAGGAAGTTCCGGTTAGATTACAACAATTGGCGGCCAAACATAAAGTTGTGCTGTGTATAAGGCAGAAATATATTAGGTATAAGCCATTTATGGCTGAGGTGAAGGATTATGCATGTCATAGAGCAGGGGAGCCCGCATCTAGTAAGAAATCCAAGGTTTTAAAGAGGGAACCCTATGCATCGAAAAGGTGTGGGTGTGGGTTTCGGATACGGGCCATTGTGCCTATCTCTAATTATAATGAGAAGGACAAGACCTTTGTGTATCAAGAAGAGGGGATGGCAGTGTTCAAGTTGTATGCGGTGCATTCAGGGCATGAGCCGGGCCCATTGGATGGGAATGCTCGGATTATGCATCGAGTAGTTGGGCATAAAAATGGGGTTTTGATGGATCAAAAAGCAGTGTATGGGATGAGTGAGGAAGAGGAGAATGAGGGTTTTGGGTTCTTGGCGAAGGACAATGGGGATTTGCAGCATTCAGTTTTGCACCAAGTGCAGGAATTGAGAAATGAAGTTGGATTGCTCGAAGGGAGAATTAGGAAAACCCCTCATGAGCTCTTGGGTTCAGTTTCACAAGAATTGTTTGATGTCTTGAATAAACTCAGAAGTATAGGAGAATATGGTAAGAAGAATGCAGTTGGGTTGCTATTGGAGAAGTCGCATCCGGATGATGTCTTGGTGGGGGACAATGATCTGGAAGATTGGAGTGATCATCCCCATCAGAGCGTATATGGGAATGGCAATTCCGAATTGATTGACGAAGATGAAGACAGTTTTGGGCGAACACTAGGGGTTGTTGCTTCTTGGGATCAGATAAGAGCAGAATGTAGGAGCGAGAGGGATCTGCTGGGTGAGACTTGTAAACCTGAAAAATGGTTGAGATGTGGTGAGTTTGACGAAAAGAGTATTCTGGACTGCGAGGATTCTAAATTAACGAAGCCCTTAAGGCATGTTGAGACTATAGAGACAGATGTAGGTCTTGTTGGAATACAAGCGGACAGCTTCTACCCTGAGAATTCTAAATGGTATGATTCTCCTTGTGGCTTGGACTCGAGCGCAGATTGCGGTGACAGTGAATTCAGGCCTGGGGGGATTGTGTAGAGTTCATAGAGCTGGGTTAACCCACTAACTTAATTCAGAGTTTGTTGGGTGCCATTCATCCCTTTCTCACTGTTGGAAGTGGGTTGTATATTCTGTACACAGAAGATTGGAGCCTCTCACGTGCTTTTAGTTACCTGTGCCTTTGCTGCTTGTAAGTCTGTAAAGTATAGCCATTGGGCTTCTCGGCACATACTTTTTGTGGCTGTCTTTTAGTTGTGAGCCTCACAAACTTAAAGCTTGGTTTCCCATTTTTGTATGTGTGGTTAGCCCTTTTTTGGTCCGTTGAAAAGTTTTTCATTTTCTGTATGAGCCCTTGTGATTTTGTACCTTTTTTGATTGCATGCTATGATGACATGTCTTTATCTTCCTACTTTCCTCTTATCTCTGCATCTTTTGAAAATTTTGAGGGGCGGCATTACATGGTAATCCTGTACTGTTTGGATATGCTAATCATAGTTTTGGTTTTTTCATTCTGGTTGCACTAGGATGATGATGTTTAGAAGGTAATTAGTTGCTTACTTGATCTAACTTTTCGTTGGGTTTCCATTTGTATCAGCATTTTCCACTTGATGATTGTCTTGACTTTTTGGCTCATAGTTGATGGGTACAGATTTGCAGTTAAATATTATACTTGTTTTGCATAATCGTATTACATTGGGGGATAATTAATGTCTGGTGGATTTGCGTTATTGATTAGTGATGCCCTGTTAGCACTTCTATGACAATTGGTTATCAATGCAATTGATACTCCAGAAAACATTAAATATGATCCTAGTCAATTCTCTCATATCCCTTCATACACAAATGGCATTTGTCATGTTGTTCATATTTTGTAACTTTTGGCATATTGGTTGAGTTTTTGAAATCTCATATCAGAGCAGGCCTGATGTTTTGTAGTTTGTCATGGGCATGTGTAAATCTAAAATTAGGGAAGAATGCAACTTGTCACAGCTGCTGTTATTAGAACAGTATTGCACAGTGATATTTTGTGCAGAGTTTGAGATGTTTCAGATGGGAGACAGTCCTGCCTACCAGTGAGGTAAAGGCACCCAGAATTGGGGCCGCCAAGAGCGTTCCTTGTTCAATTTTCTTGTGCTTTTCTTCTCATTAATGAAAATCTCATTTCTTATCAAAGGAAATCGTGCAAATAGGAAACATTGGTATGATGTTGTATTGCGAATTTTGAACATTTGGTGAATTTTTCAGGTTTGTATAAAGGAGTTTCTGTGACTGTAATTGTCAGTTAATGTTATCAATTTATATGAAGGCTTATAAGAGAAACATTGTAGAGCAGAGATCTAGCAATGCATTCTAAGCACAGATCATTGGTGTTGGATGTATCGTTAAGTTATGCCGAGTCAAATCTGCTCTGTTTTTTTTGTTCGTTGCAAAAAAGAGATCCCTTCTCCCGCTTTCAAAAATGATGGTATGAAGTCCAGGAGGCTGCAGGTACTATGGATCCTCTGACTTCCACTTGGGTTGTCTTCCCCCAAACTCTTTCCATGTGATTATTACTTACCCAGTTTTTTTTAGAACTTACCCAAATTACCCTGTGAGACTATTGTATTGAGGAAAGGTGTGCTTTTGCCTGGTGAACTAGGTTTGAAACTGGATTATGGCTCGTCTTTAATCCTTTACCTCAGCTGTACAGTAGATGTGCTGTTTGTCAACTAACAACAAAAGATCCGGATCTTGAAGTTGGCTTCTAAAACGCTGCTCTTATCATGCCCCCCACAAGTTATGTTATCTGTAAGGGGTAGAATCCTCCACTCAGGATTTCGGTTTGACCTGGGTTAACCGACGCGGGCGACCCCCTAGTAGCCTTTACCTCTCTTCGCCAATAGGACCCTTTCCTAAGGCAATCCCACATCGGAAGAGAGTCGTCTTCCCCCCTCGCATATAAGTCCTTGCACTCAAAGGAGGAGGTACCCACTAGCGACCTGATCAGGTGCCTAGTGGGTACCTCCTCCTTTGAGTGCAAGGGCTTATATGCGAGGGGGGAAGACGACTCTCTTCCGATGTGGGATTGCCTTAGGAAAGGGTCCTATTGGCGAAGAGAGGTAAAGGCTACTGGGGGGTCGCCCGCGTGGGTTAACCCAGGTCAAGCCGAAATCCTGAGTGGAGGGTTCTACCCCTTACAAAAAGAGTTGATGGGACTCTTCTGAAAAGCCCTAAGATGAAGACACGTGTCCTCGGTGGATTTGGAACAGTGTTGCCCGGATATAAGCACCATCGGCAAAGAACGTCTTTACCCCCGAGGTACCTCTCATATAGGATCACACATTTCGGTGTATTATACAACAAACACGTGCCCTTGGTCACCGTGTACCTCGGGGAACATACCACCCTCGGTCCCCGAGGAGATCCTGTCCTCGGTACCGAGGGTCACTCCGTCCTGGACGCTTCCTCTACTCCCGGATAAAGTTACTGACGTACTGGACATCAGCCTATGCCAGTCTGGACTATTCATCATGACCTCTTCTTACACAAGTAATGTCAGAACGTTCTGGAATACCGACGTAACAGCCAATAAGGGATGGACGCGTGGCAAATAATGTCACATCCGAAGCAGACAAACCGCATGCCACTGCTGGCACGCGACTTGGGAAAGCAAACAATTAATTGCGCCCTTCTGTTGATGAGACCGCATTCAATGCGGTAAGGTTCGGATATGAAAGATAATAAATGCTCCTATTACAGAGCATTTATTGCATCCTTCCCGAAGGGAGCATATTGTACCGTCGGCGTCCCGACAACTCAGCATTGATTGCTCGGGACCCCGAGCAGTCAATTAGAGAAGACATTCCTCATCAAATGATTACACACGCTACCTGTGCCTGATAATCACCTACTGACCACACTGACAGCCATCATGAGCTTCTAAGGTATAAATACCCCACCCAAAAGACAAAGCGGGTATGCAATCACAAACTCTCCACTACAGAATATCCTTCTCAGTGTTTTCTCCTTCCTCTCTCTCATTCAAAGACTGACTAGACCGTCGGAGGGGATACGCCGGAAAACACTCCGGCGCCCTTCTAACTTGTTCTCCTTTGTTCCAGGAAATACCTTCCACACGTACAGGATCGTTCTTCCTTTCCCAGGTCTTCCTTTGCCGTTCCAGGTTGCCACCGTACCTCGAAGGTTGTTTCAAGCAGCGTGTTTGGCCACTCAACCGGCTCACTCAGAGTTCACCAGGGGAGAGATCTGTTCCCAATATTTTATATATCGTGCAGGATCGAGCCCGCACAATCTGGCGCCGTCTGTGGGAAACGAGTAGTTTTCCTAATCTTTTCTCTATAAAGAACAGTGACCATGGTGAACACCAGACAGAAAGGGAATGGACCCTACCAAAGGAGTCATGAGTTGCAAGCTCCCTGCCATCACGGGGGGAGGGATCGGACCAGTACGATTAAAAGTGCCTCTACTCGGTCAAGGGGGGTAACCCCCCAAACCAGTATGGGGATCAGGTCAGGAGGATCAGCCCCCTTGGCCCGTCAACTGGCAGAGGTGATAGAAGAGAAATTTGACGATAGATTACGTCAGCTGGAGAAAGACAATGTAAACGTCCTTAGCCGGCTCGACGAGTTTGCTGCCTCAGGCGGAGGGTCGAGGGATTCATTCCTCTCCCGAGGACTTCCCGTCCATGAGGCGGAGACAAAGGATCTAAGGAACCACCTGGATCACAAAGCAGAAAACTCCAGGGCCCCGAAGCGACCCAAAGCCGGCGAATGCCATCTTGACAACCACTCCAGGAAAGCAAGGCCATTGGCCCTAGACGACCTCCGGCGAGGTTTATCCAGACGGAGGAAGGGAGATGAATCCGAGGAGGACTCAACCCAATCTACACGACGCCCAGGAAACGAGGGGCTTACCGACGAACCAAGAGACTTCAGGAGGCATCCCGTAAGGGAAGAAGTAGATCTCAGAGCCCGATTAGACTCCAGAAGAAAGGGCAAGACGATCCAGGACGAGGCCGAGGACGAAGTCATGCAAACACCCTTCACGAGGGAAATCAATGAGATGGATGTCTCAAGAAAGTTCGTCGTGCCACGGTTCAAGACCTATGATGGGCGATCTGATCCCGATGCCCATATCAGACAGTATAAGCAGATGATGTCCCTCTATCATTCGGACCAACGGTTTCTATGCCGGGTGTTCCCTATGAGCTTGGGGGACTCTGCGATGAGGTGGTTCGAGGCGCTTCCCACAAACAGTATTGGGTCCTGGAAAGAATTGACAAGGCAGTTCCTAACCCGATTCATCACGGGGAGTAAGCGCCCCAAGGACATTGGATCACTGCTGACCCTCAGGAGGAGGGAATCCGAGACTCTTCGCCAGTACGCCATCCGATACTGGGAAGAAGTCAATGAGGTCGAGGGATGCTCGGAGGTCATGGCAGCAGCATCCTTCCGGCTCGGCTTGGCAAGGGACACGGACCTGTACCGATCCCTGACCAAAAAGACTCCCTCGGATATGGGGGAACTGATGGCCCGGATCAACAAGTACTCAAGGGTCGAGGACGAGATGGGGAGCAACAAAGGCCGAGCCCTCCAGCCCAAGAGAAAGGAAAAAGAGCGCGAAGATATTCCCCGGAAGGGATTGCTACCCCATCCAGGGGGTTCGTCCAGAGGAGTTCACACCGTCTTCAAGGAACCCATCTTCAGGTTGCTCCATAAAATCAAACACGAGCCGTTCTTCAAATGGCCGCCCAGGATGCAAAGCGACCCCTCCACCCGTGATCAAAAAGTAAGGTGTTCATATCACCGGGATGTCGGGCATCGCACCGAGAGCTGCAGGGTGTTCAAGTCATTCTTGGAGAGCTTAGTCCGAGATGGATACCTGAAAGAATACATAGAGCCTAGGCCAGAAGAAAAACGAGCCCCTGCCCCGACCGAGGAACCGACCAACGTCATAGACGTCATCCATGTGTGTCCACTGGAGCGCCCCACGTCCAAAGAGCTCGAATCCGACCTCAAGAGGGTAGCTTTTACCAGAAAGGTAGCCGAAGGAGATGTGGGGCCATCAAGTAAAAGGGCCAGGATGGGTGAGCTTGGCATTACGTTCTCTGACGCGGATTTGACGGGCGTGGTGATTCCTCATAACGACGCCCTTGTCTTAACCCTAAAGATAGGGAAATTCGATGTCAAGAGAATCTTGATAGATTCAGGGAGCTCCTCGGAGGTGATGTACTTCGAGACTTTGAAGCGGATGGGCTTTGGCCCCAAAGACTTAACCAAAATCAGGACACCCCTCATCGGGTTCAACGGCTCTTTCGCCTTGCCCGTGGGGAAAATTACATTACCGGTCGCCACTGGTCCCTTCGTCATCGACACAGAGTTTGTGGTGATCGACACGGACTCTCCTTACAACGTGATTATGGGGCGAACATGGCTGCACGCGTTGGGAGCGGTGCACTCCACTCTCCACCAGAAGTTGAAGTTCGCCACGCCAGAGGGCGTCATGGAGATTCGGGGGGATCAAGCGTC